GTTCGTGCCGTTTCAAATAACCCATTTCGAGTTATCAATCACAATTATTTAATTGAATTACCCTCGGCAATCTGCTTAACTCATCATTCTATAAATTAAATGAAACTGAAACTGACTGCATTTGCTATCAAACAATAATAATAACAATACAAACAGCATTAATAATAAAAATAATAATAATAATAACAATAATAATAATAGTAATTCATTAAAGAACAATCCAACGAAATTAATTCCAACAATAAAGTACCAACGTATTACCATTTAATAAAACCACCTAATTAAATGTATTATTATGACATACTGCATGACAATACAAACTTTATCTTTATTATTTATTTATTTATTTAAGATATACTCATCAATTAAGTACTAAACCATTACTCCATACAACGTTATTTATTATTATTATTATTATTATTACTATTACTATTATTACTATTACTATAACAAGTAAACTGCAAAACGCGGAATATATCAAATCATCACACCAAATCATCCAATAAAACACTCACATCCATAAAAATCCAAAATCAACTCAATCCAACGAATAACGCGCACACGATCCTGGCAACGAACACGCCCGGTTCGCACCACCCAAATTCGAACCGAAACGAATTTTGAGGGGCCGAATGGCCGGGTGCCATATGTCGCGGTGTCGATTGTCGCACTCACGTGATCGGTTTCGTTGTTTTTTAGACTGATATTATCAAATAATATCATAACAATAACAAATTACTGNTTGCTTATTCGATAGTTATATAGAATAATATTTTATTATAATATTAATTATAATGTATAATAGTGAATATTAATAATAATGTATAATAATAATAATAATAATGTATAATATTAAATATAAATGAAAATAACGTAAAATTCGAGCGGTGATGAACGCAAAAAGATTTCGAATATCATCTTATATATAATAATAATAAATAATAATATATAATAATAAATAATAATATACAATAATAAATAATAATATATAACAAATAATAATAAAAAATAAAGATGAAGCTTGGACTGTCTCGACTGTACGAACTACAACCGGATCCGTACGACTGCTCGCAAAAGAATAATTTACGGGTGTGTTTATTTGCGGACGTGAAGAATAGTGCTGAGCTGAGGGATGGACTGAGGGGGGGTCGATTCGAGGCCGCGTTGGTCAGACCTGAATTGGTATTTTTTAATTTTTTAAAATTTATTATTTATTATTATTTATTATTGTTATTGCTTATTGCTATTTTTGGCTATGTATATAGTAATAGTAATGAATGAGTGACATGATTGTTATTGTATTGGTTTTTGATATAGGCGTGTGATGGTTTTATTATTATTTATTAGTTATTATTATTTATTATTGTTATTATTTAATATTATTTATTATTATTAATTAATTATTATTATTAAATATAATAATAAATATTGCAGATTCTCGAGACATTTATAGTGTTAGCAGCAGCGAATCGAGCCCTGCATCAGGCTGCACACAATCGACTGTCAACACGTTCACTTCATGCGGAACTCATTTATTCGTTATCACCGAATAGAAATGTTATTTATTTTTATTATATTTTATTGTTTTTATTATTTTTGTTATTTATTATTATTATTTATATTATTTACTATTTATAATATTTATTATATATACTATTTATTGTTTATGTTATTTATTATTATTGTTTTCAGATCTCAGATTCATTAATCAAATT